GGAAAAGAGAAATCCCATACATTTTCTTGAGTGTAAAACAGCAGTTATGTGCTTGTAGTGTCTGGCTATGTGCACATATATCTGTCGTACATATATCTTTTTTTGGGGGGGGAGGGCATGTGAGGTGGACTTGAAGACAACTGGAGGAGACTCAAACTGGTATGAGTTTGGCTGCTTACCATCTTGCCCACCCCGTTCCCTGTGGCGGCATTAACAGGGTACCCGGTTAGAGGGGTCTAGAGGGAAGTCTCTGTCCAAAGATCTAAGTGCGTATGGCTAGCGGGCCATAGAGCGTCCCTTGGCGTTCGGGGCCATCTGCGTAAACCTGTGTTTTGCAGTGGATCCACCCCCGAATAGACCCTGTCATGCCTTAGTTCCTCAGCGGGGGGGGGGAGGGAGGGAGGGGCTGAGAGGGATACACACCCAGCGCCCATACCAAAGCTTCCTACTTCTGAAGAAAATAAAGTTGTGGCTATTTAAATCCCAGACAGTTGTTGTGTCCATTCATTCTACCATTCAGCAGTTACACACGCCGGGAGGGGGGTCTCTGTGGCTGAGCACGCAATGCTACTAAGCCTGCTTGTGGTATAAACTGGAAATATAATTATCTTTAAGATACGGTAATCAGCAGGCAAATCAGTCCATCCACCTCTCCCTTTGGGCTGGTGCCCACCCCTGTCAGGGTCCATTGGTTTAAGAACAACAACAACAATAACAACAACAATTTATTTATACCCTGCCCATCTGGCTGGGTTTCCCCAGCCTCTCTGAGCGGCTCCTAACAGAACATTAAAAATACGATAAAACATCAAACATTAAAAACTTCCCTAAACAGGCCTGCCTTCAGATGTCTTCTAAAAGCCAGATGTTTATTTCCTTCACATCTGATGGGAGGGTGTTCCACAGGGTGGGCGCCACTACCAAAAAGGCCCTCTGCCTGGTTCCCAGTAATCTCACTTCTCGCAGTAAAGGAACCGCCAGAAGGCCCTCAGAGCTAGACCTCAGTGTCTGGTCAGAACAATAGGGGTGGAGACTCTCCTTCAGGTATACTGGGCCAAGGCCATTTAGGACTTTAAAGGTCAGCACCAACACTTTGAATTGTGCCCGGAAACATACTGGGAGCCAATGTAGGTCTTTCAGGACTGGTGTTATGTGGTCTTGGCGACTGCTCCTAGTCACCAGTCTAGCTGCCACATTCTGGATTAATTGTAGTTTCTGGGTCATCTTCAAAGGTAGCTTCACGTAAATAGTATTTTTTATTATTTATACCCTGCTCATCTGACAGGGTTTCTCAAGCCACTCTGGGTGGCATATTTTAAACATAGAAAAACATCATACATTAAAAACTTCCTGATAAAGGGTTCCACACTGGTTGCCGCTTGCAGAGTGCCACTCCACTTGCTCCTCCTTCCATCTGCCCAAAGAAGAAGAAGAAGAAGAAGAAGAAGAAGAAGAAGAGGAGGAGGAGGAGGAGTTGGAGTTTGGATTTGATATCCCACTTTATAACTACCTGAAGGAGTCTCAAAGCGGATAACATTCTCTTTTCCCTCCCCCCCCCACAACAAACACTCTGTGAGGTGAGTGGGGCTGAGAGGCTTCAGAGAAGTGTGACTAGCCCAAGGTCACCCAGCAGCTACATGTGGAGGAGCGGAGACGCGAACCCGGTTCACCAGATTACGAGTCTACTGCTCTTAACCACTACACCAAGTATGCTGCTAACATAATCCCTGTTGGTAGCAGCCAGCAAAATGCCACCCCCCCACCGCCCCAGCAAAGTAAACCTGTCCTGACAATCCACTGGATTCCAAGCTGGCCCTGTTGCCATCATGTGACAGCACTGGGCCCAATCCTAACAGCTTCACCAACTCCAGGCTCACCTTCTAACATGTGTCCCTACTGCCTTGCATGGCAGGGCTACAGGTGCAGAGGTGGCCCCACTTCTGGACTGTGGGAAGGGGAGACAGAATTTCAATTGCCCCCTCCCCTAAGTCAGATTTCACATTGCTGAGGACTCCACATTGCTCCAGCATCCTCCCTCAGTCCATGCACACAGCAGTCTCTCTTTTTATGTGGTTGGAAATTCTGTCAGCTGAATGTGTGGAGGTTATCAGGATCATACCTATTGCCCCTGCAACTTTTCCCTGCACCCAAGCCTATGCAATTTTATTCTATGTATTCATTGCAGCAATAGTTCACTTTTTTCACCATGGAGCTCAAAGAGGGATCCACAGTTATCTCCCTCCTCATTTGATCCTCACAATAACCCCACGAGGGAGGTTAGGCTGAGACCATCAAGCTTCGCGGCCGAGTGAGGATTTGAACCCAGGTCTCACAAGTCCTTGCCTGATGCTCCAACCACTCCTCTTTACAAAGAGCCCAAAAAACATTGTGACAGGGGCTGTTCTCACCTATCAGGACCAAACTAAACATAATGTTAAGTATGTTTTGCATTTAATGTGCCCCTTAAAATTAAATAAATGCAAATAGTATCTCTGTTGTTTGTGAGAATCGCAGTGTTGGAATCACAGTGGGTGGGGAGGGGGAGTTTAGTCCTTGTTTCTCCTGCTGAGATCCTGACAAAAACCATTCCTTTGAAACTGCTATTTGCATTGGGAGGAAAACTCCAATTGGCACCCAAATGTGCATGTTAAATGCAAAGGCACATTTAACATCACATCTAGTGTGGCCCTAATTCCTCACTTACTGATGAAAAGCTGTGTTGGGACAGGCTAGCTGCTGAAAATTCACTTTAGCTTTCTTGTAAAAAAAAAAAGTTGTGCAATTGCCTTTACATTTATTTCTGTGGCATTTGTTCTGAAGCTGGTTTTGGTTTTCTATCTATTTTACATTTGCATGGTGAGCTTTCTCGTGAACCCTGAATGTTCATCACTGTGGCATGCAAGTGCAAATAAATAAGCAGTAAGAAATAAAGCCACTTTGTATTTATCGAAAGTCTGTTTTGCATTGTTTCTGCATTGCTCTTTGAGATATATGTCTAACACAGAGAAAGAGAAGGATGAACCCAGCCCCTCCCCCAATTATTATTACATTTATATCCTGCCTTTCCTCAAAAGAGCTGAAGGGTGGTCTAACAATTCTCATTTTACCCACACAATCACCCTAGGAGGTCCTAAGGTCACCCAGTGAGATTTACGGTTGAGTGGGGTTTGAACCCTGATCTCTCAGGCCCTAATCTAACACTCTAACCACTATACCACACAAGTGCTAAAGCAATATCATATCTCACTTTTTAAAAGACTGAATACTACTGGGGAGTGACTGGGAAGAAACATAGGGTTATTGGTTTTGCCACTGACATTCCATACAGTAGAAACTTAAGGAAGGGCCTTCTTGGTGGCTTCACCCAAGCTTTGGAGCTTCTTACCGAGGGAGGACTGCCTTGCCCCTTCTCTGGGGACTCTCCGCCAGCACACACACAAAATGTAATATAAACATTGACAACTGGGAAACACGGCCCTGCAACTGCTCCAAGTGGAGAACAGCCTTTACCAAAGGTGTCATGAGCTTTGAAGACGCTTGAACTCAGGATGAAAGGGAAAAACATGCTAAGAGGAAGGCATATTTGGCAAACCCACACCATGATCAATTCCCACCTGGAAACCTATGTCCCCACTATGGAAGGATGTCTGGATCGAGAACTGGCCTCCACAATCACTTACTGACTCACTGTTAAAACTGTGTTTATGGAAGACAATTTTACTCGTCTACGAGTGATTGCCAAAGAAGAAGATGAAGAAAAAGAAGATACTCATAAGCAGATTGTTACGTCCATTCAGTGGCGTAGCGTGGGTTGTCAGCACCCGGGGCAAGGCAAGTAATTTGCGCCCCCTAACCCGTGGATTTGCGCCCCCTAACCCCCAGATGTTGCGCCCGGTGCAGCCGGCCCCCCTGCACCCCCTACGCTACGCCACTGCGTTGCGTCCATTGTAAGTATTTTAGGGATGCGGGTGGTGCTGTGGTCTAAGCCACCGAGCCTCTTGGGCTTGCCGACTGTAAGGTTAGCAGTTCAAATCCATGCGATGGGGTGATCTCCCATTGCTTTGTCCCAGCTCCTGCCAACCTAGCAGTTTGAAAGCATACCAGCGCAAGCAGATAAATAGGCACTGCTGCAGTGGGAAGGTAAATGGCATTTCTGTGAGCTTTGGCTTCAGTCACGGTGTTCCATTGCACCAGAAACAATTTAGTCATGCTAGCCACATGCTAGCCAAACTGCGGGAGGCAGTGGTAGACAGGAGTGCCTGGCGTTCTCTGGTCCATGGGGTCACGAAGAGTCGGACATGACTAAACGACTAAACAACAACAGCCGCATGACCTGGAAGAGCTGTCTGCAGACAAACACTGGCTCCTTTGGCTTGGAGCGAGATGAGCAACCCACCCCATAGTCAGGTTTGACTAGATTTAACTGTCCAGGGCTCTTTTACCTTTACCTTACCTGTGTAATTTGTTCAACAGGCTGTTTTTATTGTTTTGCTCCCATGTTTTTAACAATTTGATTCCCCTCCCCCCTTTACATTGTACTGTAGTTAGTAAGCTGCCTTGAGCACTCTTTGGTGAAAAGGTAAGATACAAATTTATCAAATAATCAGACAAATTTGTAAGCAAATAGGAAGTCCAAGCCTTATTTAAAGCAATTGCAACCAATCAAATGCCCAGGAAATAATCTGTCGTGTGGCACATTCTCCAGAGACATGCAAAATCCATGCTCATGAGAATGCATGATGTCTGAACAAGAAAATGTTTTGTCTGCATTTGAGTCGTGAAGCAAGTTGCTGAGACATCATCTCAAGCAGAAAGTTCCAGCTCATTGAAACAACGGTAGATTCATCATATGCATGAATGATTTCCGGAACAACAAAAATTAGAACATGAGCAAGCAAGCAAGAATAAGTGCAGATTCTGTACTCCCACACAGTTGAACCCAAGAGTGTCAATGCGGAGCTTCCCTGGGGATGTCGGCACCAATGATGCATTCTTAAGCCAGCGTGTTCTTGCAGGAGATCAGGCTGCATCGCCGGGGAGGGAAACACACAATTCTTGCAAAAACACAAAGAAGGGTCTGTTGTCAGCATAATGTCACAAATGCACATCCTGTGAACCTTGCATAAAGCCCAGAATCAATGGAAACCAGGGCAGAGCATCTTCTGTACACTAATCCCAGTGCAGAAGGGGAGATACTACGGCCCAATTGCTTATCTCATTCCACGTTTAGAATAGTAATTGTTGGAGGAGCTTTCGTCCCTTGCAAGCATTCAATCTGGGGCAACCCTTCAAATTATTTCTGCTAGGCAAGCTACTCTGAGAAAGTGATACCAGCTTTTTCCTGCTGAAATAGATCCTGTAATACTGAGTGACACTTCATATTTTTGGCACCAAACTGGCACTTAGTTATTTTAAGCTATCACATTACACCATGTAATGGCATAGAGAGCCAAGGTGATAAGAAACGCCAGCTCCTCCTGGCTATGGATTCGAAAAAGGCCTATTTTCCGTTCATCTATTTTTAGGCATTCGAGTCACTATCAACTCGAGTCATACCCATTATGGGGAGAAATAACATGACAAGACCAACAATTCAGCGAAGGCACTTTATGCCAACTTGTCAAATTCTCAGGCTGTCAGGAGGGACCACTTTGTTGGTATTCAAATTGTGACTTAGCTGAGCAGCTCTTAGAGGCAGGAGAGAGAAATGGAATCACACTCACACTTCGTTGCATTTATACTTAATTAATACTTAATTTCACAGGGCTTTTTAAAGGTTTTCTTTTTTTAACAAGCCATAGCTCAGGAATGCTTACAACCACACTGTAAAGGAGGCCTGTGTGATGGTCTCATAAAGCAGATGTTTTGTTTGCGAGAAGTCCCAGGCTTGTTCCAAGAGGTGGCTGGTGCCCGTTGAGACTTGTGGGACATATGCCAGAAGGTCAATAATAGGCAGAGCTAGAGCCAATGTCAGGTGCAACCACATTCAAGAATAGGCAGAGCCAACTAATTCTGGTTTTGTCCCCATCCTCATCCCAGCTGAGTCCTAGAAAGTCAACACTGACGCTAAGAAGGATAAAGCTGACAGCCAGTGCCACCTATTGGACTGGTTCTAAAGAAAAAGGTAGGTGTTGGGGCTGGCTGAGGACCTAATTGTCAGGAGTCCAGATTCCCCACTTGATAACACAGTAAGCGTAGGTAATTAAAAAGGAGGATTGATTGCAAAAACAAACAGATAGCTCCGGACAGCTTCAATCAAGCCTCCAGCATCATTATTCAAGATGACCCTTCTGAAGACTGCTTCCGGCAATGACAGAAGATATTGAACTTACAACCCTTACATCTCTTGTTTTGCTTCTTCTCTAACAGCCCTCCCATTCACCGACTCTTTGGACTGAGTGGATCAACTCCAACCTCTTCCTGTTCTGAGAGGCTGTTCATGCCTCTTTGTTCTTCCTGCAAACTTTGGCTGTGTTCCAGCCTGCTCTCAGCTACTGCCTTCTCAGCCAGCCCGTCAAGGTCAGGAAGAGCCGAAGTCTGCAGCTGCCGGCTCTCCCCTGCCTGACTAACATCTAAGCCTCTCTGTTCCTGGCTGCTTTCTGCAGTTGGCTGCAAACCTTTGCTGGGAGCTGGCTCATTCCTGACACTAATGGTCCAGCCTCCACTGATAAAAACATAAGAAGATGGGAAGAACCTGCTGGATCAGGCCAATGGCCCATGTAGTCCAGCATCCTGTTCTCACAGTGTCCATCCAGATGACTATGGGAAACCTGCAAGCAGGATCCAATCACAAGAGCAGTCTGTGATTCCCAGCAACTGGCATTCAGAAGCATTGCTGGAAGCAGATTAGAGCCATCACGGTTAGTATCTTTGTTCTCCTTGAATTTGTCTACTCTGTTTTAAAGTCATCTAGGTTGGTGGCCATCAATGCCTCCTGTGGGAGAGAGTTCCATAGTTTAAATATGCACTGCATGAAGAAGTATTTTCTTTTATCTGTCCTGACTCTTCCAACATTCAGCTTCACTGGAGGTCCATGAGTTCTAGTATTGCAAGAGAAGGAGAAAGTCCACTTCCTTCACCCCATACATAATTTCATAAACTTCTACCATGCCATTATAGTCTCCTATTACTCACCTTGTCTCTAAACTTGTTGTTGTTGTTTACTCGTGTCCGACTCTTCGTGACCCCATGGACCAGAGCACGCCAGGCACTCCTGTCTTCCACTGCCTCCCACAGTTTGGTCAAACTCATGCTGGTAGCTTCGAGAACACTATCCAACCATCTCGTCCTCTGTCGTCCCCTTCTCCTTGTGCCCTCCATCTTTCCCAACATCAGGGTCTTTTCCAGGGAGTCTTCTCATCTCATGAGGTGCCAAAGTACTGGAGTCTCAGCTTCAGGATCTGTCCTTCCAGTGAGCACTCAGGGCTGATTTCCTTCAGAATGGAGAGGTTTGACCTTCTTGTAGTCCATGGGACTCTCAAGAGTCTCCTTCAGCACCATAATTCAAAAGCATCAATTCTTCGGCGATCAGCCTTCTTTATGGTCCAGCTCTAAACTAAGGAGGCTCAAATGCTGCAACCTTGCCCCACAGGGGAGTTCCATCCCCTTGATGGAAGAGAGCTCTTTCCCCTTGATCCAGAGCCAGTGTAGTGTAGTGGTTAAGTGTGGTAGATTCATAATCTGGTGAACCAGATTCGCATCTCCGCTCCTCCACATGCAGCTGCTGGGTGACCTTGGGGTAGTCACACTTCTTTGAAGTCTCTCAGCCCCACTCACCTCACAGAGTGTTTGTTGTGGGGGAGGAAGGGAAAGGAGAATGTTAGCCACTTTGAGACTCCTTTGGGTAGTGATAAAGCGGGATATCAAATCCAATCTCTTCTTCTTCTTCTTGATCATTTTGTTCGAAACCCCAGGTATTGTCCAAATAACAATCTCCTTGTGGAATTAAACTGATCCTTGTAAAATGCAATGTGCAAATGTTAATTTGTTAGAGTACACGAAAACAATTTAGGGTAATAGAAGGCTGTGCGTTAAACGTAAATAACAATACAAGTACAAAGAGAAGAACTGGAAGTCTTTTATTTATAAATTCAATGAACGATTGTATAATAATGCAAATTCTTTTTTTGTATGTGTGTGTTTTTCCTCTTTCTTTTCTTGTCTTAATCTTTTCTTTTTTATGTTTATGTATGTATATATGTTTGTATTTTAATTCAATAAAGATCGTTTAAATAGAAAAAAGGAACCCCAGGTAGGTTTGGGGGAGATTTCCTACCTGAAACCCTGGAGAACTGCTTCTAGGCAGTGCCAGCAATGTTGCGCTAGAATGACAGTGGTTTATGGCAGTTTCCTATTATTTCTCTCCAAACAGTCATTGCTAGGAATGGAGGAATAATTCGTTTGGTCTCCTTATTGCGGTGGACCAGCCCCATCCAACACTTTAGAAGTGTCTTGTGGATCAGAATGCCATTCTTAACTAAAACGTCCATTTTTTTCCTGGATTTTGTAATACTGTTTCAGGATGCAAAAAGTGCACACAAAATTACAGTGGTACCTCGGGTTAAGCACTTAATTCGTTCCGGAGGTCCGTTCTTAACCTGAAACTGTTCTTAACCTGAAGCACCACTTTAGCTAATGGGGCCTCCTGCTGCCAGAGCACGATTTTTGTTCTCATCCTGAAGCAAAGTTCTTAACCCAAGGTACTATTTCTGTTTTAGCGGAGTCTGTAACCTGAAGCGTATGTAACCAGAAGCATCTGTAACCCGAGGTACCACTGTACATATTCTGCACACACAAATGTATATTTTAAGATGAAATGCACTTTAAGATGAAAGGCAATAAAACTGCAGACCACGTGTAAAATGTCTCTACAAAATGCATGCAATTTAAATGCGGTCTTTTTGTGCATTCTTTTAAAGTAGATGCATGAAACGGGATGGAACAAACCCATGACTGTGAGCCGGCAAAGCTGAAACAGGATGGAATTATGCTGCTCGTTCTGTCCCTAGTGGCAATAATCTGTCCCCACCACTGAACACAATGGCTTATTCAGTCAAGAAGCCCCACCTGCCTGCCTGCAATTCTAATACTAGGCTCACTCCCTGGGGAATCCATAAGGATGGAAGAAAGTGAGCCCACCATGCAACTGTGGCATTCTTGCAGCAATATCAGCTTGAAAATAGTGCCCCCCCCCAATCACTCTGCATTTCTGCAGGATTGCTGCCATTCACAGAGGGAAAGGATGACATTTCCCAAAAGTTTGTTTGGGATGGTGGTGCCTTACTTTAGGGCAGGCATAGGCAAACTCGGCCCTCCAGATGTTTTGAGACTACAGTTCCCATCATCCCTGACCACTGGTCATGTTAGCTAGGGATGATAGGAGTTGTAGTCCCAAAACATCTGGAGGGCCGAGTTTGGGGATACCTGCTTTAGGGTGATGATATTGATGACTGGAGCAGCTGATCAACAGTGTGCATTATTCATTAAGCCTATTCTTAAGATTCTCACAGTAGCTCAGAGCTATGTCTATTTCCACCTCCTAGGAAGCTAGAAGAGAGGTGGGGACATGGTTTCAAATGCACCAGTGGAGGTGATCTGACATTGCTGGTGCATCTGGAATGTGCCAACCTCTCCACTGTCTTTTTAAAAAATAATTTTTATTAAGTTTTCAATTTTACATTTCAAAAATGAACATTTTACATACTTTTAAATATCCAATGACTTCTGTTCTTCTTCTCTTTCCATGGTTCATTTTATATATCTCCCATTGGGGTTGGCAGTTACTTTAATTTGGGTATAACTGTAAACTGTTTATTATTGTTGTTGTTACAGGTTTTCACTGATTTATTGGTTTATATGTTGCTTGTATAGGATATCTTGTTTTTTAATGTTTGATGCTTTGTTGTGTTTTATATGTTGTAGGCTGCCCAGAGTGGCTAGGGAAACCCAGCCAGCTGGGTGGGATATAAATTAAAAATTATTATTATTATTATCCTGCATATTTTGCTCTAACCATTTAAGTCCGTTCTCCATTTTACATCATTTAAACATTATTTACACTGTTGAATTTAACTTAATGCTGCCAGCTTTTTCAGCTGTGTACAAATATTTTCCATATATTCAGTAAATATTTCCTACTCTTTAAATAAATGTTCTTCTTGTTCTCTTAATCTGTGTGTTAAACCTGCAAGTTCTGCATATTCTAACATCTTAAATTGCCTGTCCTCTTTAGCTGGGACCTCACTCACCTTCCATTTTTGGGCTAGCAATATTCGTGCTGCCGTTGTTGCATACATAAATAAACTTTTCTGACACCTGGGTATTTCTGTCTGGATTATTCCCAATATAAAAAACCTCCCCACTGTTTTACCCCTCCCCCTATACCTCCTGGTAAGAGGCAAGAAAGGGACCAATCAGAGATTGGGTGAGTGATGCCAACCCACTGTGGGATGTGAAACACATAGCAGTCAAGAACAACATTCCTAGAATGGACAAGCTAGGAGATGCTTTGTACCAGCTAGGAGAAAACTTCCTGTGGGTGTGGCCTAATTTGGGTAGAGGAGCACACATTCTTCTTTTGCTCCTCTCTTCTCCATTTTGTTTTTCTACGTGTCGGCAGTCACTTGGGCCTAACTCCCTTAAGGGATTATTCCACATGTACATGTAATTTTTTGTAACCTAAGTCTGCCTTCAGGGATCCAACTGTGAACTGAATGAATGTGAGTAAATTACTTTTATATAGACATTAAAAATATTGTCGTGTATTCTTTTTAAGAGGGACAAGAAGGGATCTTATCAGGAATCTTATAGAGAGAGGCTCAGATGAGCCTGCAACAATCAAACCACTGTGAATTTAAAAGGGAATGTTTAACTCTGCTAAGTTGTAGAACTTGCTAACACAAGTTAGGAAGGATATCATCAAACAATATATCCTCTTCTGCCTCCCTGAACATTCCCACAACCACAATGCATCCTGCTATGGAGTGAACCCTTCAGAGCGCACTCACTGCTCCTGGCTGATACCCAGCCATACCAACGACTGACGTCAGACCTGTAAATGTGATTAATACCTTTTCATTTTATCCGGGGAGGGGGGGAGAGAAGCCATTTGGCATCTGCAAAAAAAGGAGAGGGACAGAGTGGTTGCCATTATATCAAGAGATAGAGATCAGGTTCAGGAAAAGAAAACCCATCAAAATGCAATAAAAGAAAGAGAGTAGCTTTGTCAGCAGGCAAGAAATCCATGCAACCTAAAGCTGGAAAATATAAATAGATTCTAATAACAGGATTACTTTGCAAGTATACAACAGGGATTGGGGGAAAAAAACCCCTGCAATTAATTTATTAAGAGGGGGGAGCAGATTAGCATTTTCTTCTCTATTAGCAAAAATAAATTCAAGCATCATTATTCATCCTCTGAAGGAGATTTGAAGGAGCATGCATCGAAATCGTTCCTTCATGGAATTAATTTGAGAGAAAGAGAGAGAGAGAGAGAGAGAGAGAGATGAAAATTTTAACATTTTCCCAAAGCACTATTATTACAAAGATTATTGAGTGGTCTTCTTCATTTACCTTGTCCAATCACCTCCTTTTCATGAAAAAAAAGTTGGTCCTCTATTGGGTACCATTTCCATCTTTCTTTCTTACAAACTAAAAAGAGCCCAAAGTGGTTAGCATTTGCAGAATGTTGACTTCATTCTTTTGCTAGCTGACGAGGAAAATTGTGCAGCTGTGTTTCTGCGAGTTTGGAAAAGGATAAGACTGAAAGATGTTTTCCTTTCCCGTTTCATGCCGATGTAAGGAATTCTAACTTCTATAGCATTGATCATGTTAATATGTTTTTGATTTAGTGGTGGGCCATATTCTTGCGGATTTGTCTGGGAATTTTTGATATATTGTTAGGCAATTTTCTCGCTGTGCGGTAAAGACATTTTGATTGATTGATTCCACTCCTACACGAAGAGAGTTTTGTTGCTGATTAACTGATCATTTACACTGGTAAACTAGATTATAGGCTCTCCCAGACAACCTGCTTATTGAGCACTTGTCCAGATTATTTGCCTCATATTTGTATGGAGTTTATTTGTATGGCTGCATATTAAGCATTCTTTTTTATTATTTGCACAGAGGTTATATGACATTGCTCAATGTCAATATTATCCCATGCATTCCGGGACATTTCCCCGTTACTTTTCTTACAGCAAAAATAAAAACCTGGTGTTTTGCTTTTGTTTTCATAGATTTATAGAATTGTAGAGTTGAAAGGGACCCAGAGGGTCGCCTAGTGAACTCCATGCAATATAGGAATCACCGCTAAAGAATCCCTGAAAGATGGTCATCCAACCTCTGTTTTAGAACCTTCAATGAAGGAGAGTTGTGGTTTTTTTAGAAGCTAGCATGTTGTACAAGAGTGTCAAATTCACTTGAATTGTGTGACCTAAATATGCTGATATACGACTGAATCATTCTCACACAATAGTGACATTCTAAAGTGGCCTATGGGGCAGTTTTCAACTACAGTGGTACCTTGGTTCCTAAACTTAATCAATTCCGGAAGTCTGTTCCAAAACCAAAGCGTTCTAAAACCAAGGCATGCTTTCCCATAGAAAGTAATGCAAAATGGATTAATCTGTTCCAGACTTTTAAAAACAACCCTTAAAACAGCAATTTAACATGAATTTTACTATCTAATGAGACCATTGATCCATAAAATGAAGGCAATAATCAAAGTACTGTTCTATAAATAAATAAGACAGTATTGTAGATGATAAAAATTAAAATTATTATTTTTTCCTTACGTGCACTGATGATAGTCATTGTTTGGATGGGGGGCTTTTATCCATTACTGCAGTCACACAATCAATCAATCAATCAATCAATCAGTAACTGAACTGGGTTCCACACAGTCACAAAAACGAAGTCACAAGCCACCGTCACAAGTCAGTCCCATAAAACAAAGAACAAGTCACAGTAAAAAAAAGGAAAAAGCAACACAAACAAAAATGCAAAAAAATTAGCAAAAACAAAAGCTCCAAATATCACCTCTGTGTTTCGTGGGTGCTCAAGACTCAACAGGAAGCCTCTAATTAGCAGCGGGGGACTCAATTTACAAACAGAACACACTCAACAGGAAGTGGAAGATGTTCTGCTTCCAAGGCAAAGTTCACAAACTGGAACACCTACTTCTGGGTTTGCAGCGTTCTGTTTCCAAGTTGTTCATAAACTAAGCTGTTCTAAAACCAAGGTACCACTGTAAATAGTTGCGCTAATGTAAGGATTACTGTGAATGCAATGGGATTCCCCCTTTTCCTCCTGCACCATCCTCAAATCTGCTCCAGATGGTTGGGATGACAAATCCCAGAAGAGATTTAGGAGGCATTCAAAGGAAGGAGAGGGGAAGAATATTCCACCGAAACTTTTGCTTATTGCTACATTGAACACAACCTTATATCTTCTGCTTTCACCTTGGTATTTATTTACACATCAGCTACCCTTGAAGCACATTTCTGATTTGCTAAATGTGCTTTCAACATGCGTATGGCATGAAAGGGAGGGGGAGAAGAATCTAATTAGAAACAACAAGTATACAAAGTTACATTGTTTGACAATTACTCTTCTCCAAGTGGGGCACTTCTGACTTAGAGCTCACCCATGAGAAAAACTATACTCATCATCCAAATGAAAGTAATTAATTGAGGGTCGGGAAAGCAGTGGAGATTCCCAAGGAAACAACTGGGCGGCAAGATTGGCTATTAAATATTGCTGCAGGGGGAAGCTGAGAAAGTATTATATTCCCCCCTCCTAAGAGCTATTTAATATACATTGATCAGTCATTACTTCCCATATATACAGGGTTTATCTGTTTATCAGCAGCCCGGGATTTAGTGTCAACCATCCCGACAGATTCCCAATACAGATAATAATAGGGTGAGGACAAAAAGAAAATGGGAAGATCCATCTTTCAATGCCTACTGCCATCTTAGGAGATCAATAGCTGTCATAATGTCCTTATCATTCTGGGAACAGAAATACTATTTGGGCAATAAAGCTTTCCTGTTTTAGTTGTTAATTTAGATCAGCTGTGACAGAACTCTGAAATTTTGGCCTGGTGCACGAAAGAGCGTTAAGCACACACACACACACACACACACACACACACAGGGATTCCCAGTTATTGTGTTACTCTAACAAGTCTTTCTAGATGAACTGCAGATTAGGAATGCTATTATGCAGAGTTGAGCTGAAACTAAAGTTGCTGATGACTACAAAACCAGTGATACATATACTATGAATTTCTGCTGCTCATAATACTCACTTTTTATTTGGAGCCAGGAACTATTACCCTGAAACTCTTAGTACATTCATAATCAATGAGACATGCCTTGAGAGGATGCCCCACTTTTTTACCTGCATAGTCAGCATCCGATGGACTGGGAAAGTGGCATAAGAGGGATCTGTTGCCATGTGCTGCCTAGGCCAGAGGGTGTCTCACCCTCTTTCTGCAACAACAACCAGTCAAAGCTGGTCCATTAGAATGAATGTGGCACTATGTCATCAACCTCATCCCAGCAGCCTACATTCTTCCTTATATTCAGTGCAGCAGGTTATTTGGCAGGGAGAAGGCTGGGGGAAAGCCCAAAATTAGTTGACTCCACCAGCTGTTGGCTCTATCTCCACCTACTGGAACACCTTATACCAGTCTCAGTGGGCACCAGCCTCTCCTGCTGCTACTTCCAAGGTCAGAAAGTGCCTTTACTATCTAATAGAAGGCTCCAAAACAGTGTGTTCCAGCTGTTGTGGTTCTGGGCTGGTCCAGGATCCATTGGCTCCCAAGCCAGTTTCACTGCTGTCAAACATCATGGGGCCCAATCTGGTTGCCCCTCCCTCTTGCTCCATTAGGTAAAAGGTAAAGGTAAAGGGACCCCTGACCATTAGGTCCAGTCGTGGCCGACTCTGGGGTTGCGGCGCTCATCTCGTTTTATTGGCTGAGGGAGCTGGCGTACAGCTTTCGGGTCATGTGGCCAGCATGACTAAGCCGCTTCTGGCGAACCAGAGCAGCGCACGGAAACGCCATTTACCTTCCCGCCAGAGTGGTACCTTTTTATCTACTTGCACTTTGACATGCTTTCGAACTGCTAGGTTGGCAGGAGCAGGGACCGAGCAACGGGAGCTCACCCCATCGCGGGGATTCGAACTGCCGACCTAGGCTCTGTGGTTTAACTCACAGCGCCACCCGCGTCCCTTGCTCCACTAGGTAAGATTGTGCAAAGAAAGTTGTTCTTATCTCCAAGTATAGGTGGACCCTTCCAGCTCAAGAGGAACCAAGCTTTAGATGCTCAGAGAGATCTAACAAGATAGCAACAGATTTTTTTAAAAAGTGCAAGTATTGCAACCGAGGCTACAACACAGTACCACTGAGGGGCAGTTTTTGCCACCATGGTCCCCATGGGGAGGGACAGCAGGATATAACAACAACAGCAGCAGCAGTTTTATAATGTATTTATTTTTCATACCCCGTGTGTGTGTGTGTGTGTGTGTGTGTGTGTGTGTGTATCTATCTATAGATGAGACAGAGCTGGAGATAAATATTCCTGAATGAATAGGCTGTGTGGAAAGGCTGCCCTTACAGGTGGCAGTTTTGCAAGAAGGACATGAGGTGGGAAGCTTTACAGAGATGAATAGGAGGTGGAAAGAGAGCCGAAGGAGCCACAGAATTTCACTAAAGAAATGAGAAGGTGTTGGAACCAGTCTGAGAGAGAAGATCATCAAAAGTTTGCAAAGGAAATGGAAAATACAGGACTTTGAACAAGTTGCTGAATGACAGAATATGCACTCAGTAGGGGGGCTTCAGTGAGACTTGTCACTTGTCTTTTGATAGCGATGTTCACTCTGATGAGATAATGCATTTGATTTACATATATTTGCAGGCTGATTTTGTAAAATTTATATATATGACAGCTGCTAATCCAAGTGAGATACCCACTTGAGCAATTATATCAGCCCATGCTTGATAGAGCCCATCAAAGGTGATCTGGTGATTTAACCACATTGCTATGGATCGAGGGGTGCAGCTAGCTGCTCTGGCACCCGGAGCTGTGGGCGCAGGGCGAACCACCCACGGGGGTGCCACAGCGATCTGCCCAGGGGGGCGGTGTGGTGAGCTGCCCACAGAGTCCACCTGGCAGACGCAAGCCCCACGCTGCCATTTAGGGCAGCGCAGGGCCCTGAGCCACTGAGTCACTCCCAGGAGAGACGCGTGGCTTGGGTGCGCTGCAGGCCAGGCCCTGCAGAAAGTGCTGCCCCCCGCAGTGTGCTATTTTGTCCCCCCCCCTCAGGGATGACGCCTGGGGCGGACCACACCCCCAGCACCCCCCCTTCCTACGCTCCTGTCTGGATCAAATCTCTGCTCTTTATTTCACACACACTTCTAATACTATCACAAATATGGTATCAAGAACCACCCTAAATCACAGCTGACTTAAACCAATCTGCAAAGTCTACGCATCTGTAAAGACATCTGCGTATTTTAATACACACAATTGAGAACTAATAAAGATACTAGATGAATGCTCATCATTGCGGGAGGAGGTGTGCAGGACGGAAAGGAATTGGCAGAGTTAATTTTACAACCTGGAAGCACTTTTTGGGGGGAGAAAATCTCTCTTGAGGAAGAGTTACATTTGCGTGGTGGGGATGTCAGTTCGGAAGAAAAGGTGATTAAAGGGGTTGGACGTGATGGAGGTATGCACAATTGTGTGTGATGTGGAGAAAGTTGATAGAGAGAAGGTTTTCTCCCTTCCTCTTAATACTAGAAATGGGTATCATCCAATGAAGCTGAATGTTGGAAGATTCAGGACAGAGAAAAGAAGGTACTTCTGCACATGGCGGATAGTTAAATTATGGGAGATGCTCTCAGGAAAGGTACTGATGGCCAACAACTGTGATGGCTTTAAAAGAGGATTAGACAAATTCGTGGAGGGTCAGTCTATCAGTGGCTGCTGGACATGATGGCTACGTTCCAGTTGCTGGAAGCCACAGGAGAAGAGAGTGCTCTTCTGCCTAGGTTGTGGTTGTGGGTTTCCAACACAGGCATCTGGTTGGCCACTGTGAGAACAGGGTGCTGGACTAGATGGGTCATTGGCCTCATCCAGCAGGCTCTCCTTATGCTCTTATGAGCGAAAGGCTGGTCCTACCATGCTGCAACTGGAAAAGACCATGCTAAAGTCACTTCGGATGCCTGCTTCTTGGGAGAAAAGCAATGACAAACCTAGACAGCATCTTAAAAAGCAGAGACATCGCCTTGCCAACAAAAGTCCATATAGTTAAAGCTATGGTTTTCCCAGTAGTGATGTATGAAAGTGAGAGCTGGACCATAAAGAAGGCTGATCGCCGAAGAATTGATGCTTTTCAATTATGGTGCTAGAGGAGACTCTTGAGAGTCCCACGGACTGCAAGAAGATCAAACCTATCCATTCTTAAGGAAATCAGCCCTGAGAGCTCACTAAAAGGACCAATCCTGAAGCTGAGACTCCAATACTTTGGCCACCTCATGAGAAGAGAAGACTCCCTGGAAAAGACCCTGATGTGGGGAAAGATGGAGGGCACAAGGAGAAGGGGACGACAGAGGATGAGATGGTTGGACAGTGTTCTCGAAGCTACCAGCACGAGTTTGACCAAACTGTGGGAGGCTGTGGGAGACAGGAGTGCCTGGCGTGCTCTGGTCCATGGGATCACAAAGAGTAGGACACGACTAAATGACTAAACAACAACAACAACAAAGTCACTTTAAGGAGGGAAAATTATTTCCCATCGCCTGGTGCATTTAGCTTGAGAGATGCTTTTGATTAAACCTGGAACTTTTCCCGGACAAAGCATAGGCTCTCCATCAGCAATCTCCTTGCCCCTTCACCTCCTCTTTCCCTGCCCTTCCTCCACATTTATCCTCTTCTGCTTTTTCCCCAATCTTCCTACTTAACTCGATAAAAAGGAAAGGCAGGATTTTCAATAATTCTACAGAGCTCCAAAACTGTTATGACAGGGGCATAATTTAATTATTGCAAACTTCTTTTCTTCCTGACAGCTTCTTCTTCTTTTACTTTTACTTATTTTACCCAAAAGGATGATATACCCTTTTAAAAAAACGTTATAACTAAAATTGGAACAGCCTCTTCTTTTCCATTTCTCTCATAATTTATTGTTATTGATAAAGGTGGGAAAAATTTTTCTCAACCTAAGGGTCATATTCCCTCCTGGGGGGGGGGGGGGGAGAAGCTGGAAAAGCAGCAAATGTGGCTTTTGCTTTTGTGGTAGAGAATATATTCCAGTCATGCAAAGGTGAAAAGGTTTCTTTACACAGGTATCCATCCCTTCTCCAGCCAGGCAGGCAAGAGGCATTATCTCAGTGGAAGGACACATTGCAGCCAGGCAAAAAACACCTGAGACAGGTGAGAGCAGGAGCAGCGAAAGGTGTGACCTGGGTAGATAATTTGATCTGGGAGAGAGTCCTGAGGGCCACAAAACTAGGTCTGGAGGGTCGCATATGGGCCCAGCTCTGATATAGATAATGAAAAAATCTCAGTAAACTACAGAAACAATGACAAGCAGCAGCAGTAGATGCTGAAAGCAGGAGACGGCTGTGATATCACAATGGACCCATTTTAGCACTGGATTTCTAGATGCTCTTTATGTTTCTCCCTCTAGTGGTATGAGGTGACAGTCTTCTTCCTTCCTTCCTTCCTTCCTTCCTTCCTTCCTTCCTTCCTTCCTTCCTTTCTTTCTTTCTTTCTTTCTACCACTTAACTACCATTGCCTCTAAATGGTGTAGAAGAAATACAACACAAATAAGGGCAGAATTCAGTCAGAACGGTAAAATCAGATTTCAATTAAAATTCCTAATGGATTTTTTTTTTAAAAAAAAGTATTCAGTAGTGGATTAAACCACAGAGCCTAGGACTTGGCGATCAGAAGGTTGGCAGTTCGAATCCCCGCGATGGGGTGAGTTCCCGTTGCTCAGTCGCTGCTCCTGCCAACCTAGCAGTTCGAAAGCACGTCAAAGTGCAAGTAGATAAATATGTACCGCTCTGGTGGGAAGGTAAATGGCATTTCCATGCACTGCTCTAGTTTGCCAGAAGTGGCTTAGTCATGCTGGCCACATGACCCGGAAGCTGTACGCCGGCTCCCTCGGCCAATAAAGCGAGATGAGCGCCACAACCCCAGAGTCGGCCATGACTGGACCTAATGGTCAGGGGTCCCTTTACCTTTACCTTTTAGCCTCCCGAAGGTCAACAAGGAGGAGGCCTGTCTGACCTCAACTGGAAAAGAAATGAACCCAATCCTGAAAGCACAGATCCTGGTGGATGCAAACCATGCACTGAATCACGGAGGAACCACTAGCGGCGATTCCCCCAAAGACATCTGAGAATAGGAGGGACTGGGCAGGCCTCGAGCCACCTGGATCCAAATGGTGAAGGGCCTTGTAAATTAATGCAAGTACCTTGCACCCGGCTCAGGTTTGCCAGCTGGTTCCACTTGAGCAGGTCATTCCCACATTGTTTCCGATTTCAGATGGAAAATCAAAATGTCAAAAGGGAAAGGAAAGTTCCTTCAGTTTCTAATTGGCAGTGTTGGCAAGGCTGACATTTGTGATAAAAAACCCGAAACGCTTGGAAACGAACATTTCCTTGCAAGGTGGCAGCGTGAATGTAAGAGAGGGAGAGAGAGGGAGATGGGAGGGGGTGAGAAAAGGAATAAGGTTTCATTAGCAAAACCAAGCCTCACTAGAGAGAAAGGAACATTATGGAAGCTGGGATATTCAAAGTCACATTTCGAAGGTGTCCTCTTTGCATAGGCAGGAACGCATCGTCCCTTGGAGTTAGGCCACCTCACCCTTCGTAATGCCTACTCTTATTACCTTCTGTATATTGCAGATAGAGAAGTGATGGCGCATGCCTAAGGCCACTTAGGCAGTTCATGGCTCAGGTGAGAGTTAAAGTCACTGATTCCCTGGTCCTAGATCGGTTGGTTAGGCAGGATGTTAGCTTTAGCCTTCACTACACGGCTTCCACATCCATTCCTACAGGCACACCAGTCAGTTTAATGACTTTTTATGTTATGTTCTGTTAGGGGGATACGGGTGACGCTGTGGTCTAAACCACTGAGCCTCTTGGGCTTGTTAATCGGGAGGTTGGCGGTTCGAATCCGTGTGACAGGGTGAGCTCCTGGTGCTCGGTTCCAGCTTCTGGCAACCTAGCAGGTCGAAAGCACACCAGTGCAAGTAGATAAATAGGTACTGCTGCGGCAGGAAGGTAAATTGCATTTCCAGGTGCCCTGGCTCCGATCATGGTGTTCCGTTGCACCAGAAGCGGTTTAGTCATGTTGGCCACATGATCCAGAAAGCAGTCTGTGCACAAATGCCGGCTTCCACGGCCTGAAGTGAGAGGAGCACTGCAACCCCATAGTTGCCTTTGACTGGACTTAACCGTCCAGGTGTCCTTTACATTTTTAATTTTACTATGTTCTGTTAATGACCCTGGATTACCTCTTTTTATCCATGTCCTCCTTAAGGATGGGGGGGGTGGGATTCAATCACATTTTAGTGCGAACCCAGCTAATTCACACTTTCTGAAAAATGCATGAATCATAATGCAGCTGTCCTTCAAAAGTCCCACTTTGGATTTCGCAGTTCAGCTCTCTCATCCAGAAGTCCGTATGTTAGGGGAAAGTGTGCATAAAAATGCATATAAAGTAATCATATAACGATTCATTGTATTAAAGGAAATTGTTTTCCAAACTGGTGTCTTTTATGAGTAAAGTGCACTAAACCACTGATCAATTTTTAACTTTCTGTTTTTAAGTAAATTAATCAGATATCAATTAGAAAGTTAGAAAGCAAAATGTGGAGGCAACATTTTAAGGCTTATTAGGCAGGCATGGCTAATGCCATTGCTATGGACTTAAGGGACAATCTAAACACAATATCTGTTGAGACAAGAGAGTAAGGATCTGTCCAGTGCTGTTTTTCTAGAAAAAGAGATGCTGGAACTCAACATGAACACTTCCCTCATTCTCTTAGAATGCTAATGGCGCCCACCTGAGGGGTGCTGGAACTGAGTTCCAGTGAGTTCCAGCTGGGGAAAAAGCCCTGCCAGTAAGAGGTTGGATCTGTCACATCTCTGACTCAGCCAACCAGTTCCTGGTTCAGCCAAACTATACCTGAATAAGCCCATGTCCCAGTTCAGCCAATGCAACACCAGTGTAACACCTGCGTCTCAGTGAAACCAGGGTTCAGTCAACTGAGACAAGACTGGTGGATCTTACATCAGCACAAACCCTGGAAAATGGGCCAACGGCGGGGTGGTGAGGGAAAAACTGGGCTCAGGAGACTTACACTGGATCATAACTCCATTCGGCTCAGTCACATGACCTGGCAACTTGGTGGAACTTACACTGGCAGAAAAGAGTGGTGTAAGTAAACTTCTTTTTTAAAGGATTGTTTTCCCTCTGCCAGGCTTAGGCCAGTTCAGCTGGCAATAACCCCACTCCTGAACAGAGTTTCAATACGGGTGATTTATGCTATCTTAATTTTAACCAGTGCCAGTTCCACTGGCTTCAAATACTTCGCTTTGCTCTGCCTACCACTGCTGCTAAGCAATCAGAAGGGAGGAAAATGACGCATCTCCGTTGCGTTCCCTGGTGAAGAGGTTTGCTCTCATCCCACAAGAGCAGCAAGAAATACATGCAACACCTGCAGCAAATGATGCCTTGTCTCTTTAATGGCTGTGTGTGTCTGGCACAAATTAAACAAAGTAAGCCTTTTCAAGTATGGAAATAAAATGATAGAGAATGCTTCACCTGTAGATGTTCAGCCTGTCAGAAACCTTATCATGATTTACATTTGGACCCTACACTTCACTACAGGCAGGGGCGTAGGAAGGGGGGTGCGGGGTGCCCGAGGGTGTGGCCCGTTCCGGGTGTCATCCCCTAGTGGGTGACAAAATGGTACACTGTGGGGGGTGGCACTTACCATGGGGCCTGGCCTGCAGCACACCCAAGCCACGCGTCTCTTGGGAGTGACACAGTGGCTAAGGGCTCTGCACTGCTCGAAACGGCAGAATGGGGCTTGTGTCTGCCAGGTGGACTCCATGGGTGGATCGCCATCATGCCCCCCTGGGCAAATTGCCCCGCCCCCTTGGGTAGATCGCCCTGCCCCTGCTGCTCCGGGTGCCAGAGCAGCTAGTTACGCCCCTGATTACAGGAGTGTGGCATTTGCCCTCCTAGGTGTGTGACATCATACTGGGTCATAAGGAAAGGGTTAACTAAGTGTAAAATGATTAACCAATAGGAACCCAAGGGGAGGAGTTAGAATTAGAGTTGTTAAGAAGTCAGTCTGGAGTTAGAGAAGGGAGAGGGAGGATAAGTCTGTGAGTTGGGCTAGTTTGATGTCAGAGAGTGAGAGAATCTGTTAAGAGGAGTCAGTTAAACAGTTGGGAATAATCAGTTCGAAGGTATTAGGAAGGTATAGGCCGGTAAGGAAACTAAGGTTAAGAAACTGACAAGAAAAATGATCTGAAACCATAAACTTGTTAATGCTTATAAAATAAACTTGTTTATTTGGTTTAATGTTAACAACTGTCTGGACTCAGTTTGTACCTGAGAGAAACGGGTTGGTGGCAGCGGGGAAGCGATCACAGTGGTGGCACAGGGATCAATAGACCGCCAAACGTCCGGGGACCCTGTGTGATCACCACAAGGAGCTTGTAACATTCTGATATATATGCAAGCATTACATTTTTATGAACTAAAATGTTCATTCAGATGAATTTGAATCAAACCAGTTCACTTTGTAAAAGGAAGCACTAGAACCGGAACTAGTTCCTTTTGGCACAGGAGGAACTATAGCTTGAACTAGTTCCTTTTAAAAATGAACTTCCCAGGTACGGGTCCACTCCAGGGCACTTTGAACCCAACTCCTTTTTCCACTTGGAGTGAGCCCATGCTGAATAGTAGCATTTGCTCATGGAAATGTAGCCCGCAATGGAAAGGATATAAGAACTGATTTCACCTCCTGCTGAATTCTTTTTCTTACAAAACATCTTTTTCTCAACCCCTCCCCTTTATTTCCAATATTCTCAGGAGAGAAGCCTGAAAAGAGAGACATTCTTTCAAATGGAAAAACATTGATTTTTTTTTTATTTTTACAAACTTCCCAGGGAGTCTCAATTTACACGTTGTTTTTTGTTTGTTCCTTTCCTTATTGGCTTGTTTGAAGTCTTTGATGTTTTCCGAGCCGAGGCTTGGATTGCTTGTGCATCCAGCATGACCCTGTGTCAAATGGGAATTCCTTTCAAGCAGACCCTAACGTTAGGAAACGAGTGCCTTGAATTTCTCAGTCTAATCTTGTTGCTGCCTGCTTTCAAAAGACAGTTTGAGTCGAGGTGAATCTCCTAAACTAGACCAGGAAAGAAGTCAGTGATTGGGGAGTGGAGGAGTTGATGCAATTTATGAGTTATGCAATGGAAAAACAGAAGATTGTGGTTTAGAGTGGGGAGCATGGTGTCAGTAGCTTTATTAAAATATACATTCTGAAGGAGAAAGGGAAACATTTCTATAGAATCTCACTGGTAATACAGAAAGCAGTAAAATGGATTTAAGGGACAGAAATCACTGTGTTCTGGAATGCACATACTGCATTGTTGACTCACATATTATTCCTCTTTAGAACAGAAAGTCTGGCTCTGTCAGGTCTACAGCATAGCACTGATGAGCTGGCAGAAGGGTGTGCTTGATGCTGGTTGGCTGGGAGCCAGCTATGCAGGAGTGCTGATTGGCTGGGAGCCAATTTGTGTGTGCGGACGTGTATGTGCTTAGTTCTTTCCCAAATGGCTGATTTTCCAATTGAAAGCACATGTACCCCAAGCAACTTTCCCTTCTACAGGTAAGCAGATGCATACTTAATCTTGGAAACATGCAATTGGCCAATGAGGGAAGGAGTTACCTGTCCCTAATGCTCCTCTGATGAGCAATGCAGCCTCCCAAGATTGCTTTTCATTGAAAAAGACTATAATAGGGCTTTGTTGTACTCTTTTACAAGCAATGTGTACTTTGCCCCACATAGTTCTGGTTCTATCTATGGTCTTTGGCACTTTTGCATTTGTTCACCCATATTTCGATCCTATTTACTTAAAACAGTTTCTATGTCACCTTTCACCAGAATGATTACAGGGTGATTTACAATGAACTAAAATACACACACAAAAATATCCAGGCTTATTAAATGCTGTTACGAAGAATTAATGGCTTGATAATGCCTGAGTAAACAGATGAGTTTTTAATAAGCAGTGAAATACCAGTGCTGTAGGTGCCTGCCAGACCTCCAAAGAGAGATCATTTCATAAGGTGGGTGTTTGAAATTAATTTCTGTATTAATATCTTTTAAAAAAGAGTCAGCACAAAACATATTTAAATATGTATTTTAATTGTATTTTCTCTCCAAATAAAAAATACATATATTAAAGCATATATTCTCTCCAAATTTACATTTTGAAATATATATGTAAAAATAGCTTTTCCACCCATGGAACCAGTATTATGGGATGCACTCCCTGCTGAAATATGAGAGGCCCCATCTGTATTGGCATTCCGTCGGCTTTTCATGATGCACCTGTTTACCAGGGATTCCTTTGATCTCTGGACCTGAGCCTCCCTTTTTAATTAATGTACTTTTTAATAAAAAAAATTTATTGCATATTTAAATTATGAAAGTTTGTATATTAATATTTGAATGGAACTGTTTTATTACATTTTTGAAATTATAAATGTTTATATTTTAATGCTTCCATAATTGGTTTTTATGCTTGTAAGCTGCTTAGAGACCTGTTTTTGCATTCACTGGTTCACGAACAAAGAAATAAATAGTTTAGTTGCAATTTTTGAGCCTCAAACTCTGTTGAAACACAGCGAAAGCCAGGGGATGAAAACACAATCGTACACATGTCTACTCAGAAGTAAGTCTCATGGATTACAACAGGGCTCTTTCCCAAGAAAGTGTTTGTAGGATTGCAAGTTCTGATCCACATATTTAACTGAGGAGTGTGGATCAGATATTCATATATATATATATATATATATATATATATATATATGTGTGTGTATATATATATATATATATATCCATGAATATTGAACTATTTCTTCATAAACAACTTGGATGAAGGTATTGAGGGTGCCACAATTTAAGAAGGATATTTAGAAGCTGGAACAAGTGCAGAGGTCGTCTTCTTCTTTGGCAATCACTCGTAGCCGAGTAAGATTGTCTTCCATAAACACAGTTTTAACAATGAGTCTGTAAGTGACTGTGGAGGCCAATTCTGGATCCACAATTCCTACCACAGTGGGGACATTGGTTTCTGGGTGGGAGTTGATCGTGGTGTGGATTTGCCAAGCGTGCCTTCCTCTTAGCACGTTTCTTCCTTGCATCCTGAGTTCAAGTGTCTTCAAAGCCCACGACACCTTTGATAAAGGTTGTTCTCCAATTGGAGCGTTCACAGGCAAGTGTTTCCCAGTTGTTGGTTGGTGTTTATACCACATGATAAATGGTTTGGAAACCAAGTCTTATGAGGAATGATTGAAAGAATTGGGTATGTTTAGCCTGGTAAAGAGGAGACTGAGGGGAGCCACGGTCAAATATCTAAAGGGTTGTGGTGGCTTTAAGAAGGAGCTTCAAATCCTAAATTTCTCTCTTCCTACAGATGCTTGTAGAAAATAATACTTGCAGCTCAGCTTTTCGGATACCAGAAGGTGGGACATTATGAATTCTCCCAGATCTATGAACACCTAAATCAAAAGTGGGGAACATTTTCCAGCTGAGGGGCACATTGCCACACAGAGAACCTTCCGGGGACCACATGTTGGTGGCAGATGGGGCCAGAGGCAAAAGGAGGTGGAACAATGGCTGAGCATGATATATCCTAGCCATGCAAGATTTGAAGGTTTCTATACAAATACATCTCTCTATTCTCCAGACGTGGGTGGCGCTGTGGGTTAAACCACAGAGCCTAGGACTTGCCGATCAGAAGGTCGGCAGTTCGAATCCCCATGACGGGGTGAGCTCCCATTGCTCAGTCCCTGCTCCTGCCAACCTAGCAGTTCGAAAGCACGTCAAAGTGCAAGTAGATAAGTAGGTACCACTCCAGCGGGAAGGTAAACGGCATTTCCGTGTGCTGCTCTGGTTCGCCAGAAGTGGCTTAGTCATGCTGGCCACATGACCCAGAAGCTGTACGCTGGCTCCCTCAGCCAATCAAGTGAGATGAGCGCCGCAACCCCAGAGTCGGTCATGACTGGACCTAATGGTCAGGGGTCCCTTTACCTTTACACAAATACATCGCTCTATTCTCCAGATGGGTAAGCAAGAGGCATTAACATGGTTCAAGGACACATTCCAGGCAGGCAAAAATTGTCAAGGAAGTACTAAAGCAGGGCTGGTGATGGGCATTTGGGAGGGGGGCACTGAAGGAGAGTCCTGGAGGAAAGGGTGCCTGATGTTATTTATTTATCTTGGTCTTTCTTTCTGGTTGTCCCAAAACACCATGGGATTTCAAGCAGGTTCGGATGGAAAAATACATATTCCCAACATGCAGGTTTGTTCTGCTGACCAAAGAACCTCTGCTAACGTAATGGTGACGAGCCCCCTGCTGTGGCGCAGGCGAAGGAAACAAAATGCAATCTCCACAATCGGTTTTGCTTGAATCCAATCCAGCAGCATCAAGGAGCTGGAGAGACCCGACCATAAAGGAATCCTTGGATTAGTCACACCCTTTGTTTCCTCTATGGCTCCGTTCAGTTAAACTTGCCCTGACTGACCTCCCTTCAAGATACGTTATCATATTTTCTCTGAGTATTATTTTCTTGGGGGGAGAGGGGGGGACTAAAGAAAATAATGGGAAGGGAAGAAAGCAAAAACAAGACAAGCAATTCCCTTTTTATTGATTTCTCCTGTCATCTTTTCTTGATACAGAAGTACAGTTTAGGATCCGTCCTCAGCCTCCGCTCTCATGGTGGCAAACAATGTATGGTGCATCTTCATCACACACACATCTGAGGGGAAAGGTAGAGGGAAATTGCCTCAAACTTTTCCAGTTCATTGCCTGATATTTCCCATTTCCTTCAAGAAAATAAATCCTGCACGTAAGTCTTCAGGAGTAACAACTCTACTCTCGCTGCAAAAGGC